CTTAAGACGAGTGTGACATTTTTTGTTTCCTGCAAGTCATCAGAAAAATCATGGGACCCTCCATGCTTTTGCCCAGGGGTTGGGAAGAGTATCTATCACCCACTGAGCAAGTTGAAAGGGATCTTGAGCGAGGTCCCTATCAAACCAAAGCTGTGTTCGTAACTACGTGAGTCCTTCCTGTTCCACCTGCCGTTGGCATCCATCGCATGCCCAGCACAGTGCTTGGCACATGACAACGACGGACCAATGTGTGGATTTGTTTATGCGTCATCCCTCCTAGACCTCCAGGTCCCAGAGTCCAAGAATTTTGACTCTAATATTTGAATTCCCATAGTGCCTGGTGCATAGTAGGCCCTCATTAAGTAACTAATGAATGACCATAATAAAAGTGGAACCCATGCCAGCCTTATAGCAGCCACCATGATAATGTCACACTGAGAGGCTGCTGGTGAGGAAGAAGTCAGGGCCGAAGCATGCCACCATCACCCAAGATTCCGTATTTACAGGTGACACTAGTTACACCCACAGGCTAAAGAGTTGTAGCCTTGTCTCTGACACTGACTAAGCCATTTCCCCTTGATTTCATTCTTTACATTTCAAAAGGATCAGAACCAGGCCAGGCACAAGGGCTTATGCCTGTAATCACAGTACTTCGGGAGGCTGAGGCAGGTGGACCACCTGAGGTCAGGAGTTCGAGACCAGCCTGGCCAACATGGTGAAACCCCATCTCTAAAAACACAAAAAGTAGCTGGGTATGGTGGCACACACCTGTAATCCCAGCTACTGGACAGGCTGAAGCACGAGAATTGCTTGAACCTGGGAGGCAGTGGTTGTACCACTGCATTCCAGCCTAGGTGATGGAGTGAGACTCTGTCTTAAGAACAGCAGCAACACCAACACCACCACCACAGAAAAGGATCAGGACCATGATGCTGATAACCGTCCTTTTCCAGATAAAGCAGCTGGAGGTGGGAGAGATTTGGGACCTGGGCAAAAGTATTTGGTGGGTTGAGATTGGAACTCAGGACTCTTGACTCTAAACTCAAGCTCCTACCTAAGCTCCAAAGCAACCTAGAATGCACCTGAAAAAGGAAACGAAGGAGGTTTCTTCTGTCACGAATAGAATCAGAAGAAAATAGGAACAGACTGGCTGGTTAATATATGTAAAGTCTCAGGGCAAAATGAAATTTTATGGTTGATTTATAATCCTCAGGAGATTGGAAGTTGTCCCGGAAATTTTGACATGAACAGGACGACTGCAGGGCAGTATGAATTGCGTGACTGGCTTCCCAGGATCAAGGTGGCTTTGGCAGTCAGGAGGTGATTATGGGAATCCAGGGCTGGTCACAAATAACATTTTGCAGCTGGGTGACTGGGTATGCGCAACAGTTCCTGGAGCAGCCAGCAGGTGGCGCCACCTGTCAAGAGAACCAGGACAGAGGCGGTAGCCCAGACACGCCCATCTCAAAGGGGCTTTGGTAACTCTGACTTGGTCCGCAGACCGCTGCCACGAAGTGGAATGCTCCTGAGACAGCGGGACCATCCCTGTGTACCGCCGTGCAAATGCCCATTTCTCCCCCTGCGCCCGCCACCCCCCACCACCTGAGGGTGGCAGGGCAGATGATGTCAGAAGGGCCATGCAGCTCATGTGGTTATTATTAACTACTAGAAATGATGACATGAATTACTGACACAGTTTGCCGAATGTTTACCATGGCAAGGCACTGTGCTAAGTGTTCTAAGTGAATTATTTAATTCCCACAACAACCCTGTGGAATAAATAGTACCCTCATTTTACAGATCAGAACGTTGGAATTCAGAGAGATTAAGTAATTTGCCTTGGGTCACAAAGCCAGCCAACGGCAAAATCAGTTTGAACTCAGTTCTTTTACACCCCATAGCTTACACCCATAGCCACTGTGATATTCTGTCTCACTCTCCCTTCCTCCCTCCCTCCCTTCCTTTCTTCCTTCCTCTTCCATCCTTCCTACTACTTTCCTTATTGCCTTCCTGATTTCCTTCTCTTCCTTCTTTGTGCCTGGCATTGTGCTAGGTTGTAGGTTTGCAAATAATCAGACCATACCTCTGCTCTGAGGATTTTCAGTGTAACAAGGAAGCTCAGAATCATAGCAGTGGGTGTCTGGAACCATGATGGCATGTGTCAGAGAAGGAGCAAGAAGGCTCAAGTATTCAGAACAAGCTCTAGGCAGGCATGGTCTGGGGGGTTGTCCAGTTGGAAATCCCAGCTGTTCATTGGTTTAATCTGAGCTTTTGTGAACTTGGGCGAGGTGCTGGCTTTTCTGTCTCTTGGCAAACCCCCCTCTGGACAATTTCTCCCTACACTGCCATTTGGCAACACCTGGGCTACATTCTGGCAGGTGTTGGCCTGGGAGTTAATACAAATGCAATTTCATCAATGTTGGGGCATAGGCTACCAACTGACCCTCAGGAATGAAGGAGGTGCCCCAAGTGTACTGGACGTTCTCATTTCCAGTCAGCCAAGCAAAGGATGGGGACAAGGAGCTCATCGGAGGCTATCTCTCTTCTACAGGCTTCATCCACTGCTCAGAGATGAGGAGCAGTGACAGCCTCCTCTATGGCTGCAGGCTTGGGACATTAGAACATTCTACCCTCTGATTTTACACATAAGGAGCCTCAGAAGGAAAAGGCTTCATCTTAGGGCAACAGAGGTGAAGACCGAGGTAGGAGTTGGTGGTACCAAGTCTCTGCATATTCAGGGAAATTATCCATCTCATCTACCTGACAGAGTTCTACAAGGGAATCTGGCCTACTCCCTGTGTGTCTGAAGGGAGGTGTCAGTGAGATCCAATGCCTTTATCTAACAGTTGAGAAACTGAAGCTCAGAGTGGCAGAGTAACTCCTCCAAAGTCACACAGTAGCTCAGTGGCATTTACGGTGTTTCTACTGTCTGAACAGCACTGTCTTGGGCTCCCTGTTCAGCTTTCCTTTCCGGACCCCAGCAGCGCAAGTAGTTTGATAGGAAGTGAAGTTTAATTTCAAGTACAAAAGGAAGAGAGGATGAAATGGGTTAGGTGCAGAAATACTGACATTTCTGGAATCTTTTTAAATGACAGTTGACAAAACAAGACACTAATGGGAATCAGGACTATAATGTGAAAGAATGATCACCGGCGTTATGGATTTAATTGTGTACCATCCAAAAGATAAGTTGCAGTCCTGACCCCCAGAACCTGTAAAGGTGACCTTTTTTGGAAATAAGATCTTTACAGATGTCATCAAGTTGAGGTCATTAGGGTAGGTTTTCATCTAATGTAACTGGCATCCTTATGAGAAAAGGAAAATTGGGACACAGACATATGGGAGAATGAAGATAGAGGTGGAAGTGATGCATCTATCTGCCAAGGCAGGCCAAGGATTGGCCGCCATCACCAGAGCTGGGAGAGCAGCCTGGGACCAATTCTCCCTCACAGTCCTCAAAAGGAGCCACCCTTGCCAACACCTTGGTTTCCAGCCTCTAGTCTCCAGACCTGTGAGAGAATAGCTTTCTGTTGTCTTAAGCCACTCAGTTTGTAATATTTTGTCATGGCAGCCCTGGGAAACCAACATGGCTGCCTCTTAGTTACTGATTACGTGGGGCACTTTCATTTGTTGATGTAACCAATATTTATCATGCATCTATGTGCTGGCTGCCATCCTGGGTGATAGAGAAGCAGCAGAAAACCAGAGAGGACAGGTTCCTCCCTCCCTGATGCACATTTTCTAGTTCACATGCATTATCTCCAGCCAGCATCCCTGCAGCAGTCCTATGAAACAGGGATCGTTCTTTCTCAATGTACAGATAAAGAAATGGACTCCCAGGGTTAGTCATGGGACCAGGGCCTCTCTTGTGGGAAGGAGTCAGCTAGACATGCTATGTTCTACCTCAGTGGATTGCGTAGATGCAGGATTGTGAAGACAGATTCTGGGGGAGAGATGGGTGAGACAGGCAGGAGTGTGCATTCCGCAGGTACATCCTGCTCAGCATGTGGGAGGCACAGAGTGGGCTCTGCTCCTGAAGTCACAGCACAGCCCAAGCAATTACATCTCAGCCCCAGCCTTACGGGGCTGCATAGGACATGTGAGGCGAGAGGTCGCTCGCACCTCAGTTCTGCCTCTGTGGTCCTCCCACTGCTGCAGAGGAGGAGGCTGAGAATGCCTGCTTGCTGTGAGGAAGTAAAACTGGCCCCGATGGAGGGCAGCTGACAGCTTATATTCTGTAAACGAGCATTTACAGAATATCAGCGATCATCAGACAAGCTCACTCTGTGATCATGGCGGAAGGAGAAGGAGACAGAGGCACAGGTGACTCCACCTAAGAGGCAGGGACGCTCTGCAACCATAAAACCTCAGCATCCCCTCTTCCAGCCTACTCCAGCGACCAGTGGCTGCTGCTTCTGTATTAATGGCAGTTTTGTGCCTGCTTTGTTCCTTCCACCTCCTGCATAAAGATTATGAAGCTCCCCAGTCATCAAATTGTCCCTCCTTCCTGATAGCATCAAACACAGAGAAAGCCTTTCTGAAACCTTTCCCCAAACCATCGAACACAGGCCTAAACCTCATAACAAGCCCCTCCAACTCCCTCTTCCTGAGATGGGTTCTCCTGGTATATTTCTCTGTTGCTGCCGCATGCTAATGCAGCATTTCTACCTATGAGTATGTGCTCAGGGGTCTTTGGCTGGTGGGATTTAACAAGGCCATGCCTCACCCCGTGGAGACTGGCATCTCGGCCCCCACCGCTGGGCTAGGTGGTGAGAGGTGATCGCCCCTGTGCGGGGGCAGGGGTCCCAGCCCAGCAGTCTGTGGAAACCCTCATGCCAGGCCTATCCCACGAGAGCAGGTGCTCACCTGTGGCGGAGTGGCTTGGGGGAACCGGTGCCACGCACCACGGGGAGTCCCTGAACTCTACTCAGATGAAGTCGTTCTGCCTCGAGGGCTGACTGCTCAGCACATTTTTCTGAGTATTAAAATCACTGAAAAAGAAAACGAGAAATCCCGTGGAGGGCCGCGCTACTCTCTGGCAGCAAAGCTATTAAACTTGCAAGTGTCAGTTCTGAGCCGTCGGACAGGTCGGAAGCCGCCCAGCCTCGTGCGTCCCAGTTAAAGCAGTTAGTTCCAGTTAGAGATGTGCTCGCAGAAGAATCAATCATCCTTTCTGACAGTTTCTTCCGAATTAAAAGAGGCAGAGGAGGGCAGAAAAAGGAGGCACATCCCAGAGTCTGAACTCCTCACAGAGTGGGGTCTCTGCCAACTATAGCTCTGTTTGATAAAACAGGGGCGCTCTACCTAGACTGTGTGCCCGCCTACCCTTCAGGCTCTGGGATAGCACTGACTCTGGACTTAAATTCGTGTGACAGGAAGTTTTTTTTTTTTTTTTTTTTTTGTAGACAGAGACTCAGTCTGTCGCCCAGGCTGGAATGCAGTGGTGCGATCTTGGCTCACTGCAACCTCTGCCACCCGGGTTCAAGTGATTCCCTTGCCTCAGTCTCCCGAGTAGCTGGGACTACAGGCGTGTGCCACCATGTCTGGCTAATTTTGTGTATTTTTAGTAGAGACAGGGAGGGTTTCAAGGTATTAGCCGGGATAGTCTTTATCCCCCGATCACCTGATCCGCCCACATCAGCCTCTCAAGACAGGAACTTTTTAAACAGTATTTTAGGGATAGAAACAGCACTAAATTGGTCCTGGCTGGAACACTAACTGTGGCCTCCGTTTCTTTATCTCTAAAATGGGTATTACTGGCTGAAGCATGTCCTTCCTCTCCCAAATTTCTATGTTGAAATCCTAACCCCCAGTACCTCAGAATGTGACTGTATTTGGAGACACGGTCTTTAAAGAGCTGATTCAGTTACAATGAAGTCCTGACCGTGGGCCCTACTCCAAGATGCCTGGCGCCCTTCTGAGAAGAGGAAGTTTGGACACAGATGTACAGAGGGAAGCCAGCGCGAGGCCACAGGGCAAAGACGCCCCTCCATGAGCCAAGGAGAGAGGCCTCAGGAGAAGCAATCCTGCTGACCCCTTGATCTTGGACTTCTGGCCTCCACAACAGGTAAAAATGCATTTCTGTTGTTGAACACACGCTGTCTATGGGTGTTTTTTCTGGCAGCCCAAGTCGACGGATACACTGTGCATAATCTCATCTTCCTGGGTGACCCGTACATTATGGAGAGGCCCAAATTAGGACTGAGAGTAAAATTCCTGTTAGAGCCTGCAGATGGCAAACACAAGGGTCCTGTCTGAGGCCTGCAGTTCACACTGAAGACTGTGGGTGCTTTTATCCTCATGAGTCTACGGCAGTAAATTATTTTGTTGGGGAAGGAACATAATTTTGTGAGGAAAAATCTTAGGTATGTTCTCAGTGGTTTTGGCTGGTGGGATTGAGCAGGTACATGCCTCAAAGGAGGTAAACCCAGAGAACTCCCAGAGCGCCTGTGCCCACTCTGGGGGTGGCTGGATCTGGGCAAACTGCAGCCAGAAATTCAGTGACCTACCCAAGACTGTCCCCGGAGATGTTCCTGGCCTAGGTGGGCTGGATGCCACCGTGAGCGATTCATTTCCCAGTGGTCTCCTCAGGGATGGTGGGTATCCACAACCAGTGACCTCCCGCCACCTCCTGGGGCTTCTCCTTGTCCCAGTTACTCCTCACGTGACAGCGATGGTTTCATCTTCATTGTGCAGATGAACAAAACAAGGCCCATGTTTCCACAGTGGGTGAATGATAAAACCCTCCACATAACCTTTCTCCTCAGAGCTGGAGAAAGGTCCCTGGAGGGGGGGAATGAAGGTGATGAAGATGAAGTGAAGTTGAAAGCTGGAAATGATGCCTGGAAGTTCTCTGGGCAGTAGGGCTAGGAGTAGGAGCAGGGGAGTAGGGCTAGGAGGGAGGAGAGGGGAGACGACAGGGGTGTGTAGAGGGGAGAGGACGGGGCGAGCAGAGGGGAGAGGACAGGTGAGTAGAGGGAAGAGGGGAGGGGGAAGTAGAGGGGAGAGGACAGGGGTGAGTAGAAGGGAGAGGGCAGGGGTGAGTAGAGGGGAGAGGACAGGGTTGAGTAGAGGGGAAGGGACGGGTATGTAGAGGGGAGAGGACGGGGCGAGCAGAGGAGAGAGGACAGGGTGAGCAGAGGGGAGAGGACAGGTGAGTAGAGGGAAGAGGACAGGGGGAAGTAGAGGGGAGAGGGCAGGGGCGAATAGAGGGGAGAAGGCAGAGGGAAGTAGAGGGGAGAGGACAGGGGTGAGTAGAGGGAAGAGGGCAGGGATGAGTAGAGGGGAGAGGACAGGGGTGGGCAGAGGGAAGAGGGCAGGGGTGAGTAGAGGGGAGAGGACAGGTGTGAGTAGAGGAGAAAGCACAGAGGTGAGTAGAGGGGCTGGCAGGTGTGGGCAGTTACATTCAGCAGGGGACTTCGTCTTCTCCATAATTTTACCCAGAGACTGCTGAAAGAGGGGGGCCTTTCTAGCTTCACTATTTCTGTCTCCACATTGTCGTGTTATTTAGATAGCATTTACTTAGATGGTTAGTCATTGGTCCTGGAATAAATACGTAACTAAAAAGGACAAGTTGCTCTTCAGCGGTGGTTAGCGTCGTGGTGATTTCCACTCCTGTGCCCTGCTACTGCCTCCTGAGGACTGCTGAAATCACTTCTGGTTTCTGCTGAACAATGCATTTGTGACAGCCAGCTCTACTAGCTCATTTACAACCAGATAAATGAGTCTTTATGTGCTTTCCCCAGCCAGACGACAATAAACTAGGTTTTATTTGCCTAAATTGAGTCCTCAACTTCTGCGGATCAGCATAAACCCTCTGGGAGAATGTTGGGGACCCTGCCTAGCATTCTGCTTGGTTCAGCCATTCTGTCACTAATTCCCCATAAAGAGCCACCGCGTTTGTCCTCAGCACTTGTGCCAGCTGCCTGGATTAGTTTTAATTTAGCTTTTCTGGAGAGTGTAGCTCTTTAGAACATCATTCCTACTGCTCTTCTCTACGGATGTTTAATTTGGTTGGGTTTGATCTGAGAGGGGCTGTGGAGATGGGTCTCTCCCACCCGGACATGTCCGTAGCAGGGTTGGTTCTCTTGCCTTTGTGGAGTTCTGAAGGCTTCCGCTGCCTCAAGGCTTGATAGGAATTACTGCTTCCCCCACCCCAAAGCCACTGACAAGAGTTTTATTTATTACTGCGTATTTTATTTAAGGTAAAATCTCCAAACAGCGCCAAGGAGTGTATATCCTAAAGTAAGCCCCCTGTCCTGTCTCCAGCCCCAGGCCTCTCGTCAGCAGCCCCCACTGTCCCTATGTGTGCTCCAGAGGGTCTGCGCTCCACTTCCTAAGGAACACACGTGGTTCCGCAGCCCGCCTTTACTCAGACTCGCATCTTGGCGGCAGCTCCACGTCAGTATCTAACCAGCGTCCTGGTTCCTCTCACAGCTGCAGAGAATTCCGCGGCCTCGTTTCGCTGTGTCAGGCCTCGCAGCCGCTTCCTGGCTCACTGCTGGCCTGGAATTTTAGAGGATCCCTGATTTGGAGTTGTGCATTGAAACCGGGAGCCTGTCTGGTTCCATATTCAACTGTCACCACCAACCGTTTCTTGAACGCCCGCTGTGTGTCGAGGTTTGCCCCTCTGTGCCAGGCTCTGGCAGTGGAGAGGGAGGGAGACAGAGCAGCGGCCCCAGCCTGCCCTGCGGACGCCAGGCCCGCTCCCACCTTGGTTGGTCCACGCTGGGCCCTGCTCTGCAGGGCGGTCTTCCAGCATGTTCCTTGCGACCCACGTTCAGTCCCCGCTTCCTGGGGCACCCTTGTTGAGAACTCTTCAATACCCAGCGCTTTCTGGAAACTCCCACAGCATCCGTTGGTCAATCCGCGCACAGGTAAGCAGCTGGGTGTGCTATTGCTCATTTAATGCGTCTTCAAGTGTATTCAATTCCACAAACTTAAATAGGGCACTGATTCTGTGCCGGGCGATTTATACATACTTCATTTGCATTCTTGCGCCAACCCCATGAGGTAGGCCTTCTAGCTGCATTTTTATGAAAATTTCAAACGTAAGTCAGAAGAAATCCGGTATAATGGACCCCCATATACGCGTCCTCCAGCTTCCTTGATTACAGGCACGTGGCTGATTTTGCTTTACTTCTGCCCACGCATCTTGCCACTCTGCCTGCGATTATTTTCAACAAATCCCGGACGTCACGTTATTTCTTCTTCAAATATTTCAGCATGTGTTGGTAAATTGTAAGAATGCTTTAAAAGGAACACGTGACTTCACGACCATGCTCACGTCTAAAAATTAATAATACTTTCATAATACTTTCTCGGTCGTCGAATATCTAGTCAGTGTTTATCTTTTTTCAAGCGTCTAATTTTTTTTTTAATAGTTTGCTTGAGTAGTGATCCTAATAAAGCCTATTTTGGCGTGCTGACATGCCAATTTAGTCTCTTTTAATGTATAGGTTTCTCTTACCATCTTCCTTCCCTTGCAATTTTTATTTGTTAAAAAATTTGGTCTTTTGCCCTATGGTTTCCCACATTTCATCCCTATCATAATAATTTTAGTATTCTCCTTATGACTGTCTGGTTGTCTGAATATCACTTATTAAAAAGTCCAGTCTGCCCTCTATAAGTTTCAGGTGCTGCCTTTAGTGATGCTAAATTTGCAAACACTGTTGACCTTACTATAGAATTCACCTGTTCATCCGACCCTTGTCTTTTCTGTAAATTAGTACTTTTATCTTAAGGCTTAATCACATTCAGGGTTTTTGTTTGTTTGCAAGACTACTTCATAGGTGGTGATGTGTACTCCACCAGGAGATACAGAATGACTGCTGGTCGCATTTTTGTGATGGTATTTGCCATTTGATTATTGTTATTGCCTAGAGCCATGGTCTTATTATAACTATAAATCAGATTAATAATAATCTGTTTTTCTTTGTTAGCTGGAATACCTCTATAAAAAGATGCTTTCTCTCTATTTCTTTTTCTTACCTGATAAAACCTATAAGTCTTACAAAAAAGGCAGGAAAATGTTTTATTTTCTGCCATTATTTACCAGTTTAAAAAATGATGAGTTGGTTCCTCAGTGGACTCCAAAGGTGATTAGTGTTTTTGTTGTTGTTGTTTTGGTATTATACTGATATATTCGATGGGTTTAATCTATTGCAGGCAATGTTCTTAATATTCTTTTAAAAAACTGATGGATCATGCTTTTATTCTCTAACTTATCATTTTAATATTTGAAAGCTGTAAATGACATTTTCTCTATTTCCCAAGAGGGGAGCTAACAGGTCTCTCTCTATTCACCTGGGGGTCACTTACAAGTCTTTCTTTACAATTTAAAAAAATTTCTAAACATTTACATTCTTTACTATTAAGGCAAAGAGGCAGTTCAAGTTCAAGCAGAATTTCATGTTCAATTGCTTCACAAAGTCACAATGTTGAAAGCTCTGAATGTGTGATTTACATGCAGCGGTTGGAAAGGTATTTTCAGTCTGGCAAGATGCACCTTGCTCCTGGGTGGCAGCTCATATGTGCTGCACCATGAGATCAGCTGCTGTAGCGCTCAGAGAACAGCTTTGGTTCCTCGGACTCCTGTCTGCCCAGGGGCTGCACACAGGCAGTAGGTTTCTGTAACATTGAACTGAACTTTGACATCAGCGAAGGTGGGAAAGACTGATTTGAGTGCTGGCCACTTGGAAAAGATGCATGAGAGGAGAATCCCCATCTGCATCAGGGGCCTGAGGTGATTTGGAGCACTGATGTTCCTTGCTATGCTGATCATTCCATGAGACCTGGAATGATGGGTGCTTCACCAGGAGACAGCCCAGGGCTTTTCAGGCCGGAAGAGCATGGCTTGGGGTGCTGTGATCCATGCTGGCCTTTTTCTCTGGTCTTCTGCTCCCTCTACTGCTATATGAGTCACAGTCGTGTCTCTGGCCACCACCGTTAGTGCCACTGCTGCCACCTGCACTGGTCTACTGGCTACTGTGTCCACTCTGTAAGCCTGAGGACTGTTTCTGAGACTGAGAAATGCTGGATGCAGAGGTCCTACTGGAGTCCATTTTCATCTGTTATTGGTGGTACTGTGGGGTTGGAAATTGCAGTAAGTCTTGGTGTAGATTTGTCTCTATAAAATCCTTCATTTCACCATAGTTTCCAAGCATACTCTGGATACAACTAGGTAACTTATCTTCCTTGCTAGTAGCTTTGTGTGGCTCAGCAAAGAGAAGAGAGCTAGGTGGGGGCAGGCGCCTTCACCCTGTTGAATCGCCTGATCCCACCTTTCTTGTTCTTTCTTATGCTGCATGCTCCGGTCTTCATGGTTCATGTTGCTTATCTTGATTTCTTCTTGTCCCCAGTTCAGCCTCCTTGGTGTCCATCCTTATGGCAATTGGACCTCAGCTTTGCTGTTGCTTTAGATTCCACAGTATGAGGTGTAGAAGAGTCCCGAGCACAGGGGCTTCTGTCTCCGTGGTGTTGGGCTGTGCCACCTCCCAGCATGTGGATGTGGAAGCCCTGATAATATTCTTATTGATTCCCAACCATCTTTGGTTTATGGGAGCTTATCTCAACTGGCTCCTAATTCTTCTGACATGGCTGTAGTAGTTTTTGACAGCGTCCTTGCTTTCTGGTATGACAAGATGTTTCAGACTCATCTTGTATATTTCCTATCCTCAAACCTGGATTCAGCCATTTCTATGAGGAACCCCCATTCTTTTAGTGAAAGATGGTTGTTAGAGACACAAATATGAGACTAAAATTCTCATTGTCAATAAGGTGGCCATTGCTTCTAGATCTTTTCAGTGGTCAGACTTGGAAATAGGCATATATTTATTTTTATAATCACATATATCATGACTTTATATGATAATTCCAATTTAAATTCAAGACTAAAGAATTGTCACTAAACATCATGCATCTTACAACTGTATCTTTTTTCACTCACATTCTAGTCTCAGTTTTCAACAACACAAATATACTCTCTTTATCCTGCAGTATACATGAGTCCACGCACGTGCGCAGGCACACACACACACACACACACGCCAGTGTCGGAATAACAGTGCCAGGGCTACCATCACCAATATGATTACTGAAAACTTTTTGTTTTTTTTTTCTGTTCTCTTTTGCATCTCTACTAGGAATGAACAGTTAAATTCCTGTGGTTTAAAAAGTCACTTGGAATAGTTCTTTGTGTGACTATGTGATCAACTTGATACAGAGTTGGATTCATTTGTTCCCTTTTATTTTTGATTCTTAGAATTGGCTTTCTGAAATCTAATTTTGTTATACAATTTGGTGAAATATTGTGATTCCGAAGTCGTCTCCACATAACAAGATAAACTAAAAGAACTCTAGTGTCCTTCCTTTCCCCACTACTCTTCCCTCCACCCTCCTGTAAGTAACATTTAAAAACATGTACAGTTTGTTTTATTCCATTTTTTCAGTGTAAACAAATATGTATGTATATATTCATATCCTTCCCTTTTCTTAGCTAGATGGTAGAATGGAAAACACACTCTTTCCATCTTGCCTTTTAGCTCAATAATGTATCCTGGAGATCATCACTCCGTAGTAGCTACAGAGCTACTCCTTGTTCCTTTGCAGATGCATCGTGGTTTATTCAGCTAGTCCCCTCCTGGTAGGTATTTGGATTGTTTCCAGTATTTTGGTATTACAGATGGGACTGCAGTGAACAGCTTTGTACATACTTCTTGTTCATATTTTTGCCAATGTGTCTTTGGGAGTGAGTCCTAGAAACAGGACTGCTGGGTCAAATTATATAAACATAAATGCCTGTGTAATTTGTTGCCAAATCAGATAGCTGTTGCCATATTCTTCTCCATAGTGCTTGTAACATTTTCTGTTCCCGCCAACACTGTAAACGTGCCTATTTTCTTAGAGCTTCACCAACAAAATAGTTTGACACACTTTCAGAGTTTTGCCAATCACATAGGTAAAAATGGCATCGCAGGTAGAGTTTAAACATTTCTCTTATTATGGGTGCATTTGAGACATTAGGAGCCGTTTTCATGTATTTTTTTGTGTCAACTGTCTGTTCATATCTCTAACATATTTAAAAGAGTGCATTGACTTTTTTTAATCTCAAATTTTAAATGCTGTATATAGAATAGGGTTATTTTAACCTTTTATGTCCTACATTACATTTTTTTTCTAGTTTGTCATTTATCTTTTAATTTTGTTTATGGTGACATTTTGAAGTGCAAAATTTTTAAATTTTTGTTAATCAAATGTATCAATATTTTCCTTTGTTGCTTTTGGATTTTGAATTGTAACAAGGAAAAATTTCCCGACATCCAGGTTATAAAGGAATTCACCTGAGTTTTCTACTTGTGTGGTTTCATTTTTGACATTTATATCTAGGATACATTTAGAATTGACCCTGGGGTACAGCAAGAAATGGATCCAATTTTATTATTTTCCTCAAGACCGGGTCTTACTCTGTCACGCAGGCTGGAGTGCAGCAGTGATCCTCCTGTCTGAATATCACTTATTAAAAAGTCCTCCCTTCCCTCTATTGGTTTCAAACGCTGCCTTTATCAATACTAAATTTCCAAACACAGTAGAGCTTACTATAGAATTTTCGATTCTGTTCCTTGGTCGTCTGATCTTTTTGTGCCAGTGCTAAACTGTGTTACTTACAGAGACTTGATGTTAATGTCTGCTGGGGCTGCTGGTCACCTCTCCAATCTCCTCCCCTTCACTCTCTTTACTTTTTCTTTCCTGGACATTTTTGTCTTTTTGTTCTTACAAATGGAATTTATAGTCGACTCATCTAACTCTAGAAAAAAAGATGGTATTTTAAAAATTAGGGTTGTAACAAGTTTATAAATTAACTTAGGGAGAAGAGACA